ATATATATATATTGTATTTCATTATGTGTGTGTGTACAAAAAGATCTTATATATATATATATATATATATATATATATATATATATATATTAAATTAACTGATATAAAAATATGGTTTTATTGCTACAGAGGAATTACCATGTTTCAAAAACAGAAACCAAAAATCCAAATTCAATTATATTAAATTAAAAGCATTAGTTCTGTTTCCTCGTCACTAACTATATGAAATAGAACAACAAAACATATATATATATATATATATATATATATATATATATATATATATATATATATATATATTATAATAAAAAAGTGCGTGGTTTACCAAGTAAAATATATAAGGATAAACCTTTTTGGGGGTCATGGTCATGGTTGTTTTTTTGGTTTAAGCTATATATTCTGTTCCATTATTTTCCTTTTGGCCATTTTACCCTGATGATCCGTTTAGGTGAAATCTTGGTTGGTTTGCCTGGCTCTCTAGGTTTATATATATATATATATATATATATATATATATATATATATATATATATACTGAAATATATATGTGGAACAAGAAAATTGTACAAATCGTTTAACACCATGCGATAAATGTCCATCCCACAAAATGTTTAATATCTAAAATAAAATAAAATAAAATAAAACACTAAACTGAGTTTCTTTTTTTCGCCATGTTTTCAGATAAGACTGTTAGCAACGTTGGCACTATTTTTCGTAAGAACCACTGAAAAACTCTTTGAGTTATTCAGCTAGAAAGAGGACAGTTTAAACTCGTTTTGTGTCAGCCCACACTATGACTTTCCAACTGAGCAATGGTGAAAGGAAAAATATAATTCAGGCCTTCAGTAATGACACTAGCATTTATACTCTGGCTTCCATCTTCAAAGTTTATTCAAGAACCATCAAGAGAATGGTGAATACGTTTTTAAAAGAGGGAACAGCAGAGAGAAAAACTGGATCATGAGGCGACAACAGGGAGAGGAAACATCTATTTCAACTTAGAGCTAAATACATTCTTAATTGTTCAAAGTAGTTTCCAATAATATTATAAAACCCTCGTAGAATTCCAGTAAGATATCTTTAATCATTTCTAAGATACAATGGTTCAGGGTACATTTGTCAGGTAGGTGACCATGGTGTGACTGTGCAGAGAAGGAAATGCCAGCGTGTGTCATCTTTAAAAAGGACCCGGCCCAACATCTAAGGTAGACTGATCTATTCGGAAGCTGCCGATGATTGTGCTAGCATGGAATCACCAGTCATCAGTCATCGTGACCGAGTGTTTGAGCGTACTAACGTTGTTCAACCAGCTGATCCTGGTTTTTGCCCTCTCTCGCAGAAAATAAATTAAGGTGGTATACTCAGCGTAGTTGCAGTATAAACCCATAGATATATATATATATATATATATATATATATATATATATATATATATATATATATATAAATTTATATATAAATTTATATAATAAATATAAAAGATCCACGTGTGTTTCTTATAATATGTAAAATAGATAGGTTAGTTTATAAAAAAAGACAAACAAAAGGGTAGAAATATAATCAGTAAGATAAACATTTATTAAATATTAATCATTAACCATATGACAGAAATGAAGAACGGAGAGAAAGGTTTAAGTTCGGAATTTTCGGACACGCCTGTGTCCTTCATCAGAGGAACGAGGAACAAACAGAGAAATGGGAATTACTAGCCGACATATATATGAAGTAAAATAATCACACAGGGCAATCTCACTCCTTTTGAAGGAATCTCTTTCTTGCTGACCATGTCTTTAGCCATACACACGCTTGACCAGTCGATTGCGGGTTGGTGAGGCTATTTAACCCGCGGATGGCAGTTCACCCGACTTTCAACAGTTCTGGTATTTTGATTTGATGGTGTCCCACTTAACCTCCTTACCGTGTTTGGTGTGGGAGCCGCTTTAGTCGCTGACCACTCGACCACTTGGATTCTGTTTTACTTCTAAACTGTCTGTCCCATAAACCTATATGACCTACTCACTCTGTCCTGCTATTTACCATAGGTGGGGGTGGAAGAGATCGATTCACACATTTGCCAAATATATATACAAATAAATGTGCGTTTATAAATAAAAAAATGTGTGTAAAGACAATATAAATAAAGACAAAAGGAAAACTTATCTTAGACGACCTTATCACTGCAAAGGCATGCGTTTTGTAATGTAGCATGTGTTTATATATAAGTGCAAAAATATTACTAGTTTTTCAGTTTTAGAATTCTCATGAATATTCATCAGGTTAATCGTAAATTCAGGCAAAACAAACGAATGTAAGTGATGTTCTTGGATTTTTTAATGCAAATTAGTAATTAAATTGTTTTAGTTTTGGATTAATTTATGTGTTATATATTTTGAATAACATGGGGTTATGGAATTAATCATTTTCTTTGAATGTTTTAACATTTTTGCATTCATATATGTTGGCTTGGGAAAGTATTAATTCTTTCAGGAATGGAGATCTTCGAACAAGTCAGGGCACAGATTTATATTTTGATAAGATTCGATGCCAACACTCTAGACAATTTTCTTCCTTAGTTCCTTTCTCTTTTAATTAGTGTGACATTCTTCAGTGGTGTCAGTTTAAATTGTTCTGTATAAATTTTTGCTACGTTAATAAAACACCGAATAAAAATAAATAAATAAATATATAAGCCAAGAAATAAAAATAAAAAATAAAAAGTAAAAATAAATAAAAAACAAGCAAAATAATTTAACCCAAATAAATAAACAAATAAATGACTCCCGGCAAAATAGCCACCAAAATAGAGTACTCACAATGCACAACTGACCCGTATATATAAATAGCCGAAAAAAAGACAAAAACACTCGTGGCCTGACGATTGTGTCTAGCATGAAACAGCCTGTCGCTTCTAAGTGTTGACTTCAATGTTCACTTTTATATTTACACACGCACTAATCTGATATTGAGCATTTTATCCCATAAATATTGCACACCTTAAGAATATATTTCTTCATATATATATATATATATATATATATATATATATATATATATATATATATATATATATATATATAAAAAGCTCAAACACTAATATTCCATGGTTATAATTTATTACATTGGAATCGTAATCACGATCCAATTCATCAGACCTAAATATTCAATATATATATATATATATATATATATATATATATATATATATATATATATATATATATATATACAAATACAAGGTTGGTATAGATGGAATAAAATTCCAGTAACCAAGTACAGTATTTTTAAAAAAGTGACAATGCAAAGTAGAGCGAATAATATTTTATATATATATATATATATATATATATGTGTGTGTGTGTGTGTGTGTGTGTGTGTGTGTGTGTGTGTGTGTGCAAACATATAGAAAAATGGGAAAGAACATGTTAGGTAAATAATCCATATTTCCTTAGTATTTTGTTTCATTTTTAAAAAACAGTGCTCCATACAGAAGTAGAGTTTAAATTATAATTATTTTTTTTCAAAAATATGATTCCTTCACAACATAAGAGTTCTCATGTTTTCAAAACAAGAGCGGAAAACCTTACTATAATTATTAAAATTAAATTGAATTAAGGTATCGAGCCCTGTTTCATTTTTTTAGCGAAAATTTTGGAGTTATTTTTTTTTAAATAATTATATATATATATATATATATATATATATATATATATATATATATATATATATATATAGTTTTTTTAAGGTATCTATATTTATTGGTTAAAGTGTTCAATATCAGGGATATAGTGTATGTAAATATAAAAGTGAACATTGAGGCCAACACACATCAGCGACAGGGAGTGAAGATTGCGTTTAAGAATGAAACAGACTGTCACCATTGTATGTTGACTTATCTGAATAATGATAAATATCATCGGGTTATGGAATTAACCATTTTCTTTTAATTCTGTAACATTTTGGGGGTTATTTATCTTGGCCTTGGAAAGTAGTAATTCTTTCAGGAATGGTGATATTGGAAAAAAAATCCGGTGCGCAGATTTATATTTTAATAAGATTCAATAGCAGCTCTTTACAGAATTTTCCTTTAAAGTAAGTTCCTTTCTCTTTTAATAACTGTGACATTTTTAGAACAAAGTTTTGGTTGTATTTATTTCTATGTATAGCTAAATAAATGTTATAAACCCGACTAGAATTCGAACACCGCACTCTGTTTCCCCAATCTGTATCTCCACTATATCATATCTATGCTCTGTTGTAACCTTGTATTTCAATATAAGGATTTAAAAGAAATATAATTTAAATACAATTTCACACCATTTATTGTAAATATGTCTAATAAAAAAAGATGTTTATCATATAAATATAAGCGTACTATAAAAATGCTATTACCAATTTTAGTACCAATTTTATTGTGAATATATTGACTGTTTAATAAAAGCAAATTATCATTTGTCGTAAGGGTTTTCGCCCGGATAAATTTGGCGCAAGGACAAATTTAAGGAGCACCTTGTAAAAATATAATTCCTCTATAGGTAATTAATATTAAGCATAATTTCTAATTATCTTGTGTATTTATTCTGGAGATATATTACAGACGAGATAAATATAGCAGGAAAATATATATATATCTCCGAACGTGGTGCCATTTTAGATTCAGACCTCACCGGGCAAGTAAATTTATATGAGAAAAAACAGCTTAAATTATAACTGGCAGGAATCGGGTTTTTATATATATATACTCGTAAGATATTAGGCGTACACTGATTTCCTTTCTCCCTCACTTTACTACAGGCTTTGTCTCTTTCTTTTCCTCACACTCAGCCACATTAATGCAGGCACACGTATGCCCAAACGTGGTTTACTACCTTATTGATTTTCTCAGGTTGTCATCTTGCGTTGAAAGACGTAGTAGCAGCCAGAGAGAAATCTCGTTACTGTTGGCAATGCTGATGATCTCGTACAGACTATGATGCTGGTGATGACGCTACAGCCGCGCGCCAATGCTTACGCGCCAACCAATCAGAACAACGGAGGCAGTCCATTCATGTTTGCACCAAGTCACCTCGTGTCTAGAACACCCTCTCTTACACCAATGTTACTCTCGTTCCTCTCTCTTCTTCAAACAGACTTCTCTCTTTCTTTTTTTTTTTTTTAAATCTTTTTGCTTCTTTATCTCTCTTCCTCTTTGCACCGAACGATTCCACGCAGTCGCTTCTTATCGTCACACCTTTTTATGTTTTATTTTTTTTATCTGGTTTTCATTCTATCTTCTTTTGCCTTTATTATTATTATTATTACTGCTGCTATCATCATCAACATCGCCATCATCATCATTATCACCATTCTACTTTGTCCTGGTTTCGCTTGGATTTTTTTTTATAGATTTCTTTTTTTTTTGCATTAAAAATATTTTTTAAACTAATTTTCTTGGGAATTTTTTCTTTCTGAGCCCGTACATTTTTTGTTGTTTGTAATTTTCATTTTTTTTTTTTTGTGGAGGGTACATTTTTGTCTGCTTATTCTATATATATATTTTTTTATTCTTTGCTTCCAAGTACAATTTCGTTTACTGTTTACTAAGCTTCAGGTTAGTCTCGTATACGAACAAAAGTATAGGTCACCTGGTGAGAATACATTTCATTCTAGTCGCAAAACGGTTTACAAGAATAGCCTGCTGCCGAATTACTTCATGGCGATGTGTCCTAAATATTTTAATTTAATAATCTTAACTTAGTCTGACACAAGGCCCAAATATTAGGAACCTACTAGAGATCAAACTTACAGCACTTCTGAAATAGTCACTGAGACAAGTTTGTTCATTCCGTCCTCATACTTATTATTTAGCATAGGCTGGTTAAAGGCTAAAAATGTGGAGCGTCGAATAATGATTGAACTAGATTAGTAATGATTGGCTTGATTAATCATTGCTCCACGGTGAGACATAGTTAATGTAGTAATTTGTAGGGATAATTACTTATTTTGTTTGGGTCTCATCTGTCAGGTCATTAATGGGTTCATTGTATACGGGTGTTCCACTCTTGTCGCTTTGTGTCAGAGGAAGTTAATATTTATGACAATTCACATGAGAGTAATGGTCTTCGAACTTGTCACCCAGACCGTTACGGATATGGCAAGTTCGAGCTGAGTATGTCCTTCAATTTTGTAGCCCTCTTCTGGGATAGGTTGATAGACATCGATATAAGTTTTTTTTGTTTTTTTTGTTTTTTTTACTAACTCTATAACTATGTGGACTTTTCCTTTTTTTTTTCTAATTACCCATCGTTCGTTGACATTTTTCTTTCTAATTTTTTTTTACTCTGCTAATTCTTTTTTTTTTCATTTACCCCGTTTTTTTTTTCTTTCCATCCGTAGTTTCGAAGAGGAAACTAAATTGAATTACGTTTTCTATCTTCTCTTTCTTTCTTTCTTTCTTTCTTTCTTTCTTTCTTTCTTTCTTTCTTGTTTCGTTTTGTTTTCTTTCTTTCTCATTATTATTTTCGTTCTTTCTTTCTTGCTCCTTTTTTATTTATTTCTTTCTCATTTTTATTTTCTTTCATTTTTCTTTCTTTCTTTATCCTTTTTTCGTTCTCATTTTTATTGTCTTTCTTTCTTTATCCTTTTTCTTTCTCATTTTTATTTTCTTTCTTTCTTTATCCTTTTTTCTTTCTTTCTTTCTCATTACTATTTTCTTTCTTACTATCTTGCTCCTAAATTGCTTTCTTTCTTTTTTTTTCGCTTTCCTTTTTTTTCTTTCTCATTTTTGTTTTCTTTCTTTCAAAATTTACTTTTTTCATAATACCATCTTTTTTTCTTGCTTTCTTTTAATTCGTTCATTTATTCTTAATTTTTTCATATCTTTTTCCTTTATTCATTCATTCATTCCTTCTCGAATGAATTATTCATTCATTCATCATTTTTAAATAATGACTTTGTTATTCATTCATTCTTTCACCCATTCTTTCTTTTTAAATTCATTTATTTATTTCTAATTTCGTATTTTCCTTTCATAACACCGTGTTTTCTTAGTTTCATTCCTTCTTCATTCATTCTTTCTTAATATCTTCTTTTCTTTCTTTTTTATTTGTTTCATAAAAGTTTTTTCTTTCTTCCTCGTTCGTTCGTTCTGTCGCAGCCATTTATTCGATTTTCAATTAAAACTTTAAAAAAAAAAAAGGCTACAAATAAAAGCGCAAATAATGAGTTCTGGAAACATACACCTCAAGACACACGCTTGCAGCGTGTGTCTTGAGGTGTATGTTTGATTCAGACACACACACTCATCTCAAGACACACGTTGAAGGCTCTCACTTTGGTTCAGACACACACACTCATCTCAAGATACACGTTGCAAGGCTCTCACTTTGGTTCAGACACACACACACATCTCAAGACACACGTTGCAAGGCTCTCACTTTGGCTCAGACACACACACACATCTCAAGACACACGTTATTTTTCTCTCACTTTGGCTCAGACACACAAACATCTCAAGACACACGTTGCAAGGCTCTCACTTTGGTTCAGACACACACACTCATCTCAAGACACACGTTGCAAGGCTCTCATTTTGGCTCAGACACACACAAACACATCTCAAGACACACGTTGCAAGGCTCTCATTTTGGCTCAGACACACACAAACACATCTCAAGACACACGTTGCAAGGCTCACACACACATCTCAAGACACACGTTGCAAGGTTTTCACTTTGGCTCAGACACACAAACATCTTTTGAAAGACAAAAAACTTTGCTGACAAGAACGAAATATCCCCCACCGCCCACAAATGTCGTCTTATCGTTGAACATTTTCTTTTTTGACTTTCTTATTCTTTCCGAATCTATATTAACTCGAGTCTATCTATCTATCTATCTATCTATCTATCTATCTATCTATCTATCTATCTCAGTCTATTCATTATCTACCCATCTCTGTTCACATCTATCTATCTATCTATCTATCTATCTATCTTAACCATTTCTTTCTTTTTTTTCTATATCAGTTTTGTTCATTATCTATCTTAACTATTTTTTTTTTTTTTCTTTTTTTTCTATCTATCTATCTATCTATCTATCTATCATTTTTCAAATCACTCTCTCTCTCTCGCTCTCTCTCATATATATATATATATATATATATATATATATATATATATATATATATATATATATATATAAGTCCATTAATTATCTATCTTTTATCTCAGTTTTGTTCATCTAACAACCTTTTCCTTCTTTCTTTCTTTCTTTCTTTCTTTGGTTTTCATTGTGTATCATTTGATATCTCTCATTCACTCAATCATTTTCCCTAGAAGTCATAATCCTACTTAATGGTAAAGACATTGTCGTCGCTATGCAATTCAATGTCCTTTGTCATGATTTTCAGATTATTTTCAGGCATCTAGTCCCCCTTTCAATGGCGCAAAACTAGTGGGAGGCAGCAGAATCATTCACTTGTAAAATCTTAAATACGAAAATGCTTTTCATCGGGAGGCCGGCACTTACTCATGAAGTCATCATTGTCACGTCGCTTTTCTGATTTGCCTCACGCTTCTTATCAATTATTTCTTTAAATACACCCTCTTGGTTCGATTTAATTCAGGTTTTTAATCTGCCCACTGATGTTCTCATCGCCAAATCTTTTTTTTTTTTTTTTTAAAACTTTCCTCCCATTTTTTTCTTAGTACATCCAGTTTCATACTGGAAACTATTCGTCCTGGGTAAGACGATAAACTAAGTCCAGCAGCAAGGGCTCTGATCCGGAGGTTTTGAGGAGCGTGGAACCACCTCTTAATTGCTAATGTTTCCAGGTCCATCCTGAACCGGAGTTGTAGCAGCCGTTAGTGTCCCAACTAAGGAGAAATACTTAATCCGGGGTTAATATATTTTGAAAGTGTAAAAATAGGTTTTAATACCAGCAAGAAATTTTTGAAGGAAAAATTATAAGCAGCAATACATTTTTCAAGTAAATAAATATTACCAGTAATACATATTTGAAAAAAAAAAATATTAACAGAAATACATCTTTGAGGGAAAAAATATTACCAGAAATACATAAAAAAAAAAATTACCAGTAATATATGTTTGGAATATAAACCTTCACCAGAAATACATTTTTGGAAAAAAAATATTACTAATTATATTACCAGCAATAAACATCTTTAAATAACCCATTGTGGTTGACATGCCGTAAAACAAAGCAACCAAAACAAACCGGAAACTTGTGCAAATCTTTTTCTTAGTAATTCCAGTCTCATACCGGAAACAATTTTTTCACTTTTTGGTCTTCCATAGACAAGCAAATCGATCAATTGTAACGTCCTTAATTTCAACCTCGCCTACCGAACGTCGCTTATTCGCTGACGGACTTTATCTGTTTGCACGTATTTCCTTGGTTCTGAAAAGGTAAAACAAATACCCACCTGAAACACAGCAAGAATTTTATAACGTTTTCTGTATATTTGCCTCCCATCATTCATTGATTAGAGTATTGCTGATTTACAATCCGGCCTCGGCAGTTAGTGATCGAACCCATGAACAATCTCAAATACCTAATTAGAATTTTCTGGACAGGCAGTTAGCTTCCGCTGATTTGGTATAATCTATGTACATTTACACAGGTATTTGAACCAAACTAGTCTGTTTTGATGTCTGTGGCCAAGTGGTTAACCTTTCCTTCCTAGTGGCCTAAACATAAACACAAATAGAAATTCCATGTAACATTTTATTTACAAAAAACAAATGTAGTTGAAAATATAAATTCTGACGAATGTCTACACAGTGGACTATCGGTGGTAATAAATTCGGACTATCGGTGGTGATAAAATACGGATAAAGCAATTCTTTCGAAAACTAAAATAACATTCTTGTTAATTAATTCTGCCATATTGAAACACAATAACTGACATTAGATACACCCTTGTGCAAATTAATTATACAGGAAGATGTGGAGGGTCATGATCATCTACAACCTTGTTCAAATTAATTGAAACAAAAAGAATCACTCCGCTATTATTTACTTCTTTTCGTATTTTTCCAATGAAACATGACCCACTGCACATGTCAGTACTTCGTATGTCCATTCCCTGAAGTCGTTCCTTGAGGATTGACCACAGATGCTCCATTGCATTTAAATCAGTAGAGTTTCCGGACCAATCAACAGTACTTTGATTTGCTCACTGGTAAGACTTGCCAGTCTGTTTGTGCTGTATTACAATTTTCGTATGTTTCCTTGGAGTAAAGTCCATCGCAGACAATGTCTGTAGGACAACTAATTGACAGTCGGGGCAATAGTGTTTTGGTGTGATAAAAATCTGATGCAATCACAGATGAAGCAATATTTTTCAAGGCCAAATAAATTTCATCATACACCCTGAAAATAGATTATTATTACTGTACACCACTGCAAATGACCTAATCTGAGGAAAAAATAGTAGTCGATAACACCCTGTAAATCAAGTGGGTCTAAAACTGATCGTATGATGAAAGAAAAGAAACTAAAGCAGTTGTATCTGTCTATATTTCTGAGATGAGGTATTATATAACCTATTTACATTATTCGGACTATTGTCCTCATCTTTGTCGCCATATTTATTACAACGATTCGGACCTTCAGTATCTGTCTATATTTCTGAGATAAGGTATTATGTAAACTATTTACATTATTCGGACTATTGTCCTCATCTTGGTCTCCATATTTATTACAACGTTTCGGCCCTTCAGTATTTGTCTATATTTCTGAGATAAGGTATTATGTACACTATTTACATTATTCGGACTATTGTCCTCATCTTTGTAGCCATATTTATCACAACGTTTCCTCAAAGACACA